AATATAGTTTTAATAACAGCGATTGTACAGTACCTGGTAATTATGTAGCAACACGAGAATGCTTGGTAACAAGGACTAGCTCTTGCACTGTAATTCCTTACAGAATAACTGAGCGCGGAAGCTGCGTGAACTTAAGATTACGATTCGGCACTGAAACGAACTCGTTAGAGTTTATAAGATCAGGTGCTCAAGTTTCTCTTATCGTCTGTTATATTCTCTTTTGCAGAGGACAACGGCGAAAAGTTATTCTACTTCGTATCTGTTTCCATTTGTAATGAATGCGAACTGACTAAAATATTTTTTATTGAAAACATAAATAAATTTTCTGGTAAATTTATCTGTTTTATATATATATATATGTATATATATTTTATAGTTACAATTAAAATTACAATTGAAGATATGATCTATTACGTTTCAATCTCTTATATTTTCAATTATATATCTTGTCTCCATTTTTATATCAGCATTATACCTGGATCACTGACGGCATTTTTCATGGTATCTTCAATCTCTATTATCCTTTGTATCTTTCGAGCTTGTTTGTCGAACGTTTATCTCTTCCTTCAGGCTTAATAAAATTATGCGGGATACGTGCCACGATTGAACGGGAAAACCGCGCAGCGTTATTCAATGTCTGCCTCTTTGACTGTCAACCCTTTGTGTACCCGACACGTTACGAGGGCTTAATTTTCGCACGTGGTACACGTCGCCCATTGACCCAATAAAGCCGGACTTAAACTTTAATGGCTGCCATCGTAAACCACGGTCGTTTCGATGTGCATAAATTGCTACATACCAGTCGCGGTTTAGCATGGCAGTTGATACAGATGAAATGCAAGATCGGCAGGAATCCGGCTGTTGCCCTCGTTTCATCATCCGGATAATCGTAATGGATTCCGACAAACTACACAAGATTAGTACGAGAAATAATACCAGCTTTTGAGCTGTCAATTGTAAGATTTAAATGTAGCATTGTAATACTCCTGATGATTAAATTAAGAACAAATGAATTATCTAAAGAGGAAAATCTAAAAATCGAAGTTAAAATAATTATAATAAATACTAAGTCATAATAATTAAGTACCAATCTTCTAAAATATATATAATTCATTATTATATCTACTATAATTATCTCGCTCAGAAGTAGTTTATTTAAAGAGCAACGTGAATTCGCCTCCCGATTCTAAGCATCGCTGTACGTAAAACCGATTCTGCAGAGAGTTGTTCGGCACAGATGACACTATGACAACCGACGAATTTTTATATGTTCTCGGTGTTATTCTGCAGCTTGTATTCACACTACACACGGTTCCCGCCATTTCATCGTTCTACAAATATATACAACGAATATTATTGCGTTGCAACGAGAGCCATTCGGCGGTTTGTCGCCTCAATAACGGCGCAGTTATATCGATGATGGTTGTTTAATGATTTGCAATCGGCCGGCGAGTCATGCTTCTTTTTTTCTCTCTCTCTCGTTATACCTCGTATTCCTGTTTTCGCGATCACGGCTTTTTGCGTTTCTTTTAATCGATGTCGGTTTTCTTTTAAAGCTAATTAATATTGTTATCTATATTGTGTCATTTATTTTTATTTACGTAAAAAAGTAATTTCGATAAATGGAAACGGCATACCAAATAACAATGCACACGTTACATTAAATTTGTAAAATTACTTTCACGAATATAAAGTTATATTTAAAGGATTTATTATAAAATTATTTAAAATTTTATGTCTTGAAAATTTATTCAATTAGAAATTATACACGTAATTTCGGAAATTTACTGAAATTCATCTCATCAGTCGTTATTAAATCGCGTATAAGAACAATATGGATTCTACATACACAACAAATTTTAGCCGTTTAATAATGTCACCATATATTCGTGTGTTCTACCTTTTCTACGTACATACGATCACAAAATCCTTTCCCGCGGGTCGTATACAGGTTTGCTTAACGGCCCGTATAAAGTTTACGGGCGTTCCGGCTGAAACAGCGGGAGAAATTTCTTTCGAAGAGATTCATTCTACTGTAAAGCGAGGTCACCTTAAAGGTTCGCGCAGTCCGGTTCGCGCGATTTGCGCCGTTGAACAGTCAATTACTTACTATTACTGTCAAATTTAATCAGCCGATATTGCTAGTGAGAAAGAATATAAATAAAGAAATAAAAGGTACAAAAGGGCGTTATAAAAATTCGAACGCTCAAAAATCTCAAGCAATGAAGAATGGAAGATACTTGCGATCAAAAGAGATATTGATTACGTTTATACGGACACTCTTAGGCTCAGTTCACAACTCATGGTTAACTCTTAATCGAGGTTTAATTTATTCCTCATCTCTTTCTAATGCTAGAATTGAGTTAAACTGAGTTTTAATCGGGTTTAGTAACATTCGTAGTTAGAAACTGGCCAGCAATCACAGTCATTCCATTTTTCAGAGGAATAGCTATGATTGGCCAGTTCCATAATAACGAATGTTATTAAACTTGCTAAAGGTATCCGTGTAAATGTAGTCATTACCTGAAAAAAAAAAGAGTATACCGCGGGATTGTGATAAAAGGATTTTATAGCGGTGTCCATTCTGGAATAAAAGATAAACTAGTAGTTTGCGGGCGCGCTTTAAAGTTCTCATCAAGCGATCGAGGTCTGTAGGACACTTCTGTGTTTCATTGTTCCCTTTGTTTGGTGTTTACGCTGTTGCACCAGGACTACAGTGCGGCGTGCCCGACGGCGTCGGTTACGTCGGCGACTACGATGGACCGGGAACAGAGCAAGGGGGAACGAGGAGGTGAGGTCGTCGGTACGCCGGGGAGAAAAGCTTTCATTAAGCTTGCATTGTCCCAGCACCGCGCTATTATAGCCGAGTGAATAACTTCGAGCCATCCTGGTAGTCATGCCGCCCTTGTTTCTCTCTCTTCTTCCTGCGTCGCTTCATCTTCCGTTTTATCTTTCTTCAATTTTTTCTTTTTTCCATCTCGTACGCCACTCGCGCCACTCCCTTCCTCCGCGTCACACTTCCGATATTCTGCACGTCTCTCCCGCGTTTTCCAGGGACTCGCCTCTTCCTTCTCTCGCACAATTTGACGCATCTCCAATTTATTCTGCGACCTCGGTGGCTGTCCCGTTATAGTCGCGGTGTGATATTAACGAGCTGAACGGCGATATAACGGTAACGGCAAATCGCTCGAGCGGCGCCGGGGTGGCATCGAACGACGTCCCACTCGCTGGGGCGCCAACAGAGCGTGTGGATATTTCCACCATTTGTCGTTGGTATCGACGATAATAGTAGGATCTTTTAACGAATACGACCTCGGCGTCTGTAAAATCTTGACTGTCCCGTTCATTAATTACTTGCCACGACCTCGTATCTATACCTCGTTTGTTCAACGACAATTTTGAAAACCTTCCCTTTCCGCTACTTCTCTTGATCGTTCTCTGCCAACCTCGTTGGTCGTTCGTTCTGTCGCCCTATATACACACTAGCGGAATATGCCGGAATATCCCATCATCCGCTTCCAACGTTGGACGTTAATGACATGGAAGGGAAGCTCGTATTGAACGCAGAAGAGAAAGAGGGGTGATTATCGGAGGTAACGAGAGTAACGCGTCATCTCCAATGATTACGTTTGATTTCTAGAGGCACTTGATGCGTTCAATTACTAACTCTCGGGATTTACATCTTCATTATAACGAGCATTCCGATAACTAACGCTGCTCATTGCTCTCGTTCTCCCTTCTCTCTCTCTTTTTTCTGTCTCCTTTGCGGTATATCTATTTGGTGATGATGTGAAGTTTTGTCGCTGCGCATAATGTTGCTTCGGGGCGGAAAGCTGGTTTGTATTCGGGAAGTGAACTCCGCGCAAAAGCAGGTCACAATAAACTCCCACAATGGAAATAAGCATTCCACGGGTTACCTCCAAACAAACCATTTAAGCAGATATTTATTATGTGAAAAGTATTTTCATATTATTGAAACGTTGCGTACATTTGGGAGCAGTGCCGATCTGTGGAAATATTATTTAATTCAATCAAAGAAAGAACAACATCTGTATTCGGATTAAAAATAAAGTTAAATATAACAGTATTACTGAAGAGTGTTTCATTATTGTTTCTATATTTAGAGCAAATAACATATTTAATATGATGTATGCAAAGATTGTACTGCAATAGAAAAATGTTTAATCTTTTATATCATTCCTTTGATTGAATTTATTATGATGTTAACATATTTTTTTTAATATATAATTTATTTCATATAAATATTTATATAAGTACATATAATACTCTTTTAATTTTTATTCCATTCTTTTTTATTTTTGACTTTTGAAAAGCAATGATCAAAAGTGATAAAGATGGAACTGAAAGACTTTTCTATTTGCTATTGTGAATTGTATCTTCAGTAATCTATCTTCTTAAAGTCTACTATTTTTATTTGAAAATTGGTTATTTTCGTGCACATTGGATTCAATCCGCAGTGGCCGATATCTTCGTACATAGAATCTCGTCGTACAAAGAATGACTTTCGAATGTGTAGAAATCAGATTACGTTGGCCAATACATTTTAAAATTATCGGAAATCTTATTTGAAAATTGCGAAGTAGCGAGTTCACAGACTTGCTATCGTCTGCGAAAGAAAATTGCAATTTGCAATTGCTATGACTTTCTGAATTATTAAACTGTTTTTGAATTTCATTATGAAATTCATTTAGACAAATATTATGCAGAAATAGAGCAAGTTGAGAATGGAACGAATCTTATATTTGTAATTTGCGATGTTATATTTCTTTTCAAGATATTTTGAGATTGCATTTAAAAACAGAATACTGAAAGCGGAATGAAATTCTATTTTGCATTCATTTTAAATTGATCTTGGCAGTGTAATAATACTCTGGTAACATCGTCTATTTTTCTTTCTTTTTTTTTTCTTGTTTCTCTGCAATATCACGTAGTATATCGACGTCGTGGCATTGACACTAATTGCTTAATACCTGTTTCAGATACTCCATCGTTCGCGATAACGCGTTTACCTGGTTTTGGAATTCCGATCGTCGAGGGGATGTCTGTCAGCCTGAAATGCGAGGTAGACAGCAATCCAGCCAGTACTCCAATTTGGCAGCGCGGTAAGTGGCGAACGAAAAAAAAAGGAATGGAATTCGCGCGTGGTATTTCGTCTGATCAGACGATTTCTCGATCAGACTCGAAAGGACGTCTAACTTATTAATTCAATCAATTCTAGAAACATCTTGCGTAAAATAGTTTTGTTTAGAAATATAATGTTTTTTTACTTTTGTTAAATAGTGTGTTATGTAGAATCGAAAGAAATGTTCCTTCTTATTGATTATTTCTATTTGATTTGTTTATTTATTTTTCTCTTGCAGAAATATATATCATTTTGTATGTTTTACATCAAACTTGTTTACTTACTTTTTAGTTTCTGATTAGTTTTATTATATTATAAGTGCGAAAAATCGCGTTTGGATAAAAGTGCAATAAAACTTATTAGTTATACTGGATTATTCGTAGAGATATTGATTGGATATTGTAGATACATTTAGTCATTTCGAGGCACATATACTGATTACAATAAATATAAAAATATTTATAATTTACTTGTCGATTTTTAGAAAAGAAAAATTTTAAGAAGAATAATTAGTTAATATACTAGTAAAAATAATTCAGTTAAGAAATTAAGTCAGTAAACTGATCGTCTCATTATATTTTTATCATTAGCGCTACTCATTTCCTCGCATGAACTCTTTGTTAGTTTAAAACAGATAATTGTAATAAATATATTACTTATAAGTATCACGTTACGTTTCATCTTTTAATTAATGTCTTCTATTTGAATGACCTGGATAATTAACTCTTCCCAGCAGTAACGTTATTCGTATTTTCTAACAGCCGGTAAATTTTTGGCGATTTAAATATGTTCGGTAATGAGATTTTTAACTAGTTACTGCTACAACAAACAACCCTTCATTCGAAGTGAATTTAAACCTAGTAATTTATATTGTTCGTTTAACTAAAACAAACACATTTTAGTTAAGCGCAAATTATTGATTAATTTCAAATAGATTTTATCTTGATAAAATACAAAGATATCACCAGGGCTTTCATGAATTCTCAAAAATCTGATAATCATATTACATAAATTATGATATATAATTTTTTTTTTAATTCCAAGCAAGCTTTACTTTAATAAAATTAAAATCTGGGTATTGGTTGTATAATTATATTCAACACTGTTACCAAAGTTATATTACGTATTACATATACATATATATATTTTTTTATAACTTTATTTTAACTGAAGGTTAAAAGGTAGCAGCAAAAACTTGGAAAGAAATTCAATCTTTTTAATCATTCTTTCTAACATTACTTCGAATATTTATCACTTAAAAGGGGTGCATTTAGTGTATCTACACATATAACACACACACATACACACACACACACACAATTTGCAGGTAGTATGTGGCAGACGGCGAGTTGCAAGGCGCACGTGCATTATTTCGTGCAACTCCCCATTCCCTACTACAGCTAGGAAACGCGTCACGTTGTAGGTAGACACGTTAGCACGGGCACGTGTAACGGCAACGTGAGCATAATTTAATCACTGTAAACAGGCACTTGGATGGGGTGAAATCTGATGCACATGACCCTCGGCGTAATATCGGCTTCGTAGTAACTCTAAAGGAGAGATGTAAACTTATCTGTAAACGCATGCGTCAATGCATTGATAAGCGTAACACGGCTGTAATAGAATTATCGAGTTATCCTCTCGTGTTGACCTTTTCCAAACGGAATGTTCTTGTTGATTCGTGAAAAATGCAACTGATGCGCGTGTCATTGAAAAAAATTAATAAACTTATAAAAATGACTTGATTAAATCATCAATCAATCAATTGTGGGAAGAGAATTTAGTTTCTCCTCATATAAAATGAATGAATTAACAATGTAATTGCGATATTGAAATTGAAAGATTAATTGTGTAGATAATAGAAAACATAATCTGACAATTATATACGAGAATCATTAGTTATGTATATTATTATAATATAATTATTATATAACGCACAAAGTAATAGTATTGTAAGCGACATTCTTAATATACTTTGCAAAATGCATCCCTCTAGCAAGCGAGAGAGACTTCCTGCTATTTTCATACAAAATCCGCTATAACGTAATAATATCGCGGACTCATTCCTCGAGAACAGTCGTAATTCTCGCGTAATTAAACCATTACCAACGATATGCTTAGGTGAGTCAAACGCATGTCGCCGCTCGCGGCATAATAACGTAGTCCTTAGCTCGAGGGATTGAGGAAGACGTCGAGGAGAAGGGAGGTTCCGAAGTTCTGCATTCACGCGATTTCCGTCAACCTTGTCGTCTCAGCCTTGGCGTCCCACCTCCTCTAAATCTCAGGGATCTCGGGCTCGAGAATCGGGTGGGAGGTAAGGTGGTACATCCCATAATCACATTATTACGTACCGCAACGGGCGCGACAAGTCTACCACACAGACGCCGGCAGAAATCGGGACAATGGGCAGCCCCACACCGACGCCGGTCCCTTTCATCCCGGCAATTCTCGCCGGCGCGCTTTCATTCGGCTCCGATAGACAGGTGTACGCGCTCGATATTATTCCCGTCTCGATGCACCACTACACGCTGCAGCCGCGCCTATTGCGGCATTGTAAATTTCGTGCCGGCGTTAAAGGGAGATTCAGTGGTTGTGATGCTCGTCGTGCCGTACGCGAGCAACGTCGAGGAAGCTGTTACGCGGCACGTGATATCGGAGCAGCACGTTGTTCCATCTAATCTGCTCTATTGGCCGGCACTTGTGCGAGAGAAAGAGATAAGACAACGGGAACGACGGCGTGGATATAGATGTACCTATCGTGATTGCGTTGCGATGACCCACTCAAAATAAGAAAGTTATGCAGTTATTGATTAACGATTGATTGCAAGTAATGACTAACAATTTTATTATCAAATTGAAATACAATTTGTGTCATGTATTAGGTGTTGGAATTAATTCGTAGCGTTTTTTAATGAAAGAATGTTATTTATTTCACATGAGCATTAAAAAATACATTAATGAAAGTACTTCCCATCTCTTGTAAAACGCTACGAATTAATTCCAACACCTAATACTTTTCGTATTTATAACTGTACATATATTACAGAAAAAACAGATTATGAGTACATGAAAAATCATGAATAATATTTGCGCGAATATGATGTTTTATTATGCAAACATAAATAACATTTCTCCTCTTTGTACTTGACATTAACTAAAATCAAAATATAAACAAGCTTGTGATAATTTGTGTGTATTAACAAATAAAATATTTGGGATAAATATTGTAAAAAAAAAAGTAATTTTTAATTATTGTAAAGCTTTCTATCCGTTTCTTACAGCAATGATGTAAGAATTTTGTTCTGATATTTAATAACAATTAATTTAATATCTATAATGGTAGCGAAATGATTAATCCTGGTAAGGATGAACAAAATATGATACTGTAACGATGAGAACTACGAAGCTTTACGCTTGAAATGTAAAATAATTCAGAAATTATCATGATTTGTAGCACAATGTTTCGATAATAGCTTTATAATTAATTAAAATCTGTAAAACATTAAAATTTTATTAAAATTTACAAAAAGACGAATGAAAGGTAATATTCAGTCGTATAGATTCATTACCATTTGGCTGTTCTTTGTCGTGGGAGAGCTCGCCGGCTGCGACCGCTTCTACGACCTGATAAATATTTAAAACTGTATAATTTCCTCTTTCTTGTGAGCAATTTCTGAACGTTTTATAGCTTTTAATCTTACCCTTATTTCATATTTCAAGCTTAATCTGCCTTATCTTCCCAATCAAGGTGTTCATTGATTAGAATAAGCGATATAAATCCACATTCCATGAGAAGTTATCTTGATAGCGGAGTAGAAGAAATGAAATTTCAGTAGAGAATGAAAAGATCTAATTGATATCATCTGAAAATTAACATTGAAAAAAATGAGAATTGCGAAAGAAGAAACTTATACACATGGATATCTTGTTATTAAATCTGATAGCATATATTTTACTTGAATTTAAATGGAGATTAGCGATTAATAGTGAAAAGTTAAATTGCATGCGCTAAAATGTGGAGGTAACAAATAATTACACTTTCCACCCCTTGCCACATATCGCTTCACTCTGGTTACTTTATTAAGTTACTGACTTTCATGAGGCAATCTCTCAACTTGATGCTTTCAACCAATAATGAGGAGTAAAGTTGTAAGACTCTAACATTCTTGCTCATTTTATTCTCTTCTAATAATGATGTCCTTTATAATTCATAAAATCGCGTACTATTGATTTAAGATAACGCAATCAAAAATTAAAAATCTTTAAGAGACTGAGCTCTAAAAATATAAATTTATCGGTACAGCTCTAATATCATCTAAAATCGATCTTTATTCAACTGCAATTTAATTTAGATTGCAATTGAGATATTAATATTGAAAATAAAAATGCAATAGAGGAAAAGAGAAAATCTTTAGCGAAGGCAAACTTTTCTCAAAGGAGTAAAGTCTATATCCGAAAAGAGAAGCGTCTAAGATAGCGTCTTTTATATATGTACAAGTTACTCGTGAAAAATATGTAAGTGAAAGAAATGGCGCAATTTCGATAAAGCATATCGGCTGCTATCGGATATCCTCTTTCAGTTTCGCATGTCGAAAGCAACATTATCCATATCATCATTTTCTTCGTGAACTGCGTAACTTTGCGTAATGGACACCGCATAGACACGGACGTTTACATCAAAGGAAGGCGGAATAACGTTTGTTTTAATGAATACATCTTTTGCCAAGAAAGCGCGTATCTTTTCATATGTGAAAAGGTTGTCTGTTCAACAGAGCGATGCGTCATCATATAGATACGAAATGCAGCGGTGCAGTTTTATACGTACCTACTTGAGGCGTGCGCTTCAAAAACTCGAAACTTTTTAAAAATCAATAAGACAGTAAAATGATTTTTAATATTTAACGATAATAAAATGATTTTTTACATACAGTTGATAGAAAATATTAACTTTTTCTAAATGGTAACAGGAAAATATCAATCTTTTTATTTAAAAAAAAAAATATATATATATATGTATAAAAATTGGCAAAATTTCAGGAAAAATTTGTTCATTTTGTACATGTTTTAAAGATAACCGGGCCGAGTAGTAATGTACGCTTCACCGAAAACGTTTTGCGAAAACGTATACATAGCGAAAATATGGAAACGCATGAAATCCAGGACTATAAATTTCACAATACGCGCCGTTGTAGTCACGGTATTAAATTTCGGTTACGTTATATCCATGTCGCAGATATGGCTCTCAATACACATACATAATACTAGCAAAAATCTGTTTATCCATTAAATTCCGCATATTCCACGTTCCGTTATCGCCTAGTCATTTGTTATTGCACGAGCCGGTTTGCCACTAATCGGCCAACTATATTTTTATTAAGCCAAATTGAATCCGCTCGGCGTTACCAAATCGTATATTTCCATCTACCGTCGCCATTTCTAAATCTTTTTGGAAAATTAAGGCTCTCTCGCTCGCTCGCTCGATTTGAATTCTGGAACAGGATTTACGGTGTATACATCGCCGTTCGTGGATCGGTAACGACGTTGCTTTTTAGCCGGTGCGGCGAATAAAAGCTTACCGCAGCATAATTTCCTTTATTCATCGTCAATCAGCGGCGGCTTGAGCCGAGTAAGATAGAGGGAACGTAGCCGGACGAAACGGAGAGAACGAGAGAGATTTCTGTGCGGAGTTCGCGGGAGAGACCACTTTCTTGATTAGACCGTACCGTTTAAGCGGGTGAACCCATTACATTCGTTAAACGTATTCGCTGCGCTGGTGAACTTTTCACCTAGGGTGCGTCCCGCCCCGCGTAGAGTATTACTCTGTGCGAATCAGCGGTGCTTTTGCCATGCATTTCTCCGAATGAAAATCGGAATCGCGATTTCTTGCTGTGCGAACAAATCGGGCGAACGCCGATAAATATTTAACCGCGTGCCGCTCTGCATTCCGGAAATAGAGCTACATTGTGCTTCAACTACAATAAGATTATATTTCAGCCGATATCATACGACCAACCGATAGGTATACTTTTTATGCACTCATATCTACTTCGAATTAAAATGCAAGATAATTTCAAATTAATCTTGTTTTCCATCAGTTAGAAGGAGTTTTTTTTTTAAATAAACTATTACATGTATATATATATATATATATATATATATATATATATATATATATATATATATATATATATATATATATATATATATATATATATATATATATATATATATATATATATATATATATATATATATATATATATATATATATATATATAATGTATAACATAGAGTTGAACGCTTAATTTAATATAATTTAGTATTAAGCATTAATTATAACATTTCACATACAACGTTAATATCGTTCAGGAATTATATTATCAAAAACGTTTCCTATCGCGGTGTTTAAGTTTCGGTATTCAGAAATAACTGAAACCAAATTGAAATTAGTTATTCCGCTTTTATTCGGATATTATTATTCTTTCAGCAAATTTGTGTCGGTTATATAATCAATGCAAGAAATCAGCTTGCACGAATCCAGTAATGGTCTTCAGGAGAACAGCCGAGCACGGCCGCGTATACGTCGAGTGTTCCATCGAAAAAGCAACCCGAGTTTAACGCGGCCGATTAAATCGCTTTTCAACCAACTTTTTTAATCCACCCTTCCACGTTCGTATTCTGCTCGTTAAGAAACACCTTTTTAATCCCCTTTACGTAGCTTGATCCGCGTATTTACGCAAGACTGCCTTTTCGATCAACTTTATACGATAGGAGTGGAAATTACAATTTCTCTTGAATTAATCAGAAAAGCATGGAGAGGCTCCACTCAAACGAGAAGCTCATTCGCGACGTAGTCCGCCGCCACCACTGCGATGAAGCATTGCCAGGCTCGCTGGCGTAAATCACAATCGTGAATAACAATTTCGAGATTTGATAGAGATTTCGCGTTGCGCTCCATTCACATCTCGAGTGAATCATGATTGTCTTTTCCGTCCCTGCGTCTTGAGTTATTTATTGTCTGTTAAAACTTTGCGCAAAACTGTACTTTCTTTGACGCGTCGACGAAGTCGCGCAATGGAAGTGTCACGAAAATAAAGTGCACGTTTCTACACTATTTGATATATTCGAGGAGTCGAAAGATGTGTGAAAATGATTACGTTAAAAAGATTTAAAGATTTATAGAAACGATATTGCACTTCCTACTTTTTTTTACTCGTATTGTCACGCATTATGGATTAAATAACGCGTTGTATAAATTTTCTTCTATAATTATCTATTTAAATTTTTTATATTATCATTTTCAACCAAATTAATATAAATCCCTTTGTATTTGCTTTGAAAACTTTAATTCTTATTAATAATATGATTTTACATTTTAATGAGGAACTGAGATACGAAATAGTATAATTACCTTCTTGCCATGCAAATGTATATCTATATTAGAGAGTATATAAATGGAACGGTGAATTAATATACAAGTTTTTTCGAAATATTAATAAAAAAGATCTGCGTTATCAATCAAGTATCTAAAAATTCGAAAAATTGGACTGATTGTGTAGTTTCGTTTATCTCGTTATTGAGTTACACAAAACGCTGAGAACAGCTGCAGCCGTCACTTTCTGCTGCGATCAGCCGCGTACGAGTGATAAGAACTATGATGGACGACCTGTTATTACCAAACGTCAGAAGGTACTGCGATTTCCACAAGAATTATTGCCAAATACTGTTCTAAAGTAACGGTTTAGCTGTACGTTTGACGTGCCATGACTTTTTATACCGCGGATACTCTTATACCGCGATAAAAGAATTTAAGCACTTGATAATTGCAGGAGTCTTTAATATTTCTTACAAAAGTTTTATATATATTAGGTGTTGGAATTAATTCGTAGCGTTTTACAAGTGATGGGAAGTACTTTCATTAATGTATTTTTTAATGCTCATGTGAAATAAATAACATTCTTTCATTAAAAAACGCTACGAATTAATTCCAACACCTAATATATAAATATTTGTTAATCTTTAATATAAATTTGAGACGACGAATAAAACTTTATGTGATATATGCTTTATTTATGACTTTTTTAAGTACTTACTTAAATACTGAATAAAGTAATAATTTGTTATATAAGACAAATCAATCGTAATTATCAAGATTAATTAAAAATTGAACTTGCATATTACATTCACATATGTAGCTATTTGCGTAGTAACAATTTCCGAAATAAAAGCTTTTTTAAATAGCTGATAATGAAATATTTGGCTGTCAATAGTATTACATTCGTGACATTAATTATTTGTTTAAATTAATATCTGAAATTTGATTTCTCTTCGAGAATAATCCTGGTCTCGCTGTTAAATTAATTAAACTCCCACGTTGCCGATATAATCGTTTGTTCTATGATGTTTCGGCAATGAATATTTCTGATCGCAGATCGCGTTTTGATGTATGTATGCTCCTCCAATTCTGGTTCCGACAGACAATATCTTCCTCGTGTCAATATTACTGTCATGGGCGGGAAATCGTAGTCTTTTATGCGAGGATGTACGGAGGATTGATGAAATAATATTTTTTTGTGTGTGCATTGGCTACGAAATAACTAGATTTATTAAAGTTGTCCTCGTCTTCGTATTACCCTCGTATTACGCCCGGGTAGACTGTATAATTAATCGGCAGCCACGGGACGTGACAGAAAAATCGACGTCCCGTCGTCGTGACGGATGACGCCGCGCGGCTACGACGGGAAGCGGCTATATGTGAGTTATCCTATTAAATATTCAATTATTTCTGCCTTCCACTCCTGACGTCTGGAATTCGCTCAGCGCGACGGCGCGCGCTGCGTCGAGCCAACGCCGCGTCCGCCGGCGGGGCCAAGCTTAATCCCTATTCATAGACTCAATCGAGTGATTTCGAATAAATCCTTCCAGCGTTCCGCGAGATCCGCTGCAATTAAAATACTTTAATATCCTTTGGAGCACGTATCCGCCCCGGGCAATGCCTTCGCCGTTCGCGAACCTTTCACCCAAACTCGTTGCTGCCGCCATTGCCGTCGTCGCCGCTGCTGCTGCTACCACCCATTTCCCAATTTCTTTTAGGTACAGTTACTCTTATTAAACGTCCCATTCCTTTTCGAGAAAGCACGTTCGCCTCTCGTTCAAAGCCTTTATAGGGAAGGTAAGTCAGGCATTCGGACTCTCCCCGATTTACTATATTGTAACGAGTAGTGCAAATAGTCGATTTCGCAATATGGTTTTACAAAGCCGCGATTTTCTTTGAGACTAAGAAATGTTTAAACCACTAAGTTAACATATTATTTTTGGATACGTAACTTGTGATCGTATCCAATGTATTCTTCGGATATCTTAGAGTTGAGAAAACTTTCAAACAAAGATCGAAGTAAATACATGAAAATAATTTATTATGATACTGTCGGATGATTTATCACACCGATACATTGGACGTAGAAACATTTTGCAAGAAGAAACGAGAGCGTCAGCTGTGTGAAATTGCTTAAGAGAAAGTCGATCTTTATACGATCATTATTTGGAAGAGACACAAAGCAAGGATATCAGAACTCCAATGATATATCCAGAATAATTCCAGGATACTGGAATTTCCGAGTTCGAAATATTATTAACTGTGAAGTCCGCAATTTATGATCTTATATCGTTATATCGTTCTTTTTACCTAAAGAAATAATTATCAGTTGTGGCTATTTATAAATATACTTGTTTTAATCAGTATTAAATTTTATTTCTTTAACAGTAATGTTTTATATATTTTTTTATTGTCATTTTGTTGACATGTTTGATATTTTAGTTAAGCGTTTTATTTTAAAATATTAGTCTTCTAATCTTATAAGTGACAACATTATTTTTGAGGAGAAAAAAGACTAGTGCTATATATTTTGAACAGTTTTGAATATTTTATTTATATAAAACATCTTTTTCGTAATTTAGAGGCAGTTTATTTTTACATATATATATATATATATATATATATATATATGTATCACGATAAAAGCTTATGCTTTTGACATAGGCACTTGTGTGGTACACGATATACAGAAGATCGGTTTTTGTTCCATGTCGCAACGTCGATTTTTCATGGAGTTGCAGCGTTTAGAAAATCCGGTGTGCATACCCATTCATAAAAGATCACCGTGTGTACACTTTTTGTATGTAATTTGACAGGTGAGCTAATCCGTTACTAAAAAACAGGTGCGAAAACGTGTAGGGTACACATGCTTTGTAACATGATATGCCGCGTCGAGAGAACCATATACGCTGGTCAACACTGCCACTAGAGCGAAAAATCACACAGGTCGATATAATCGCCAATATCGTTACACAGAAAATTGCAACGAAATAATCCCGTTCCAAAATTATAATATATTCTGTTGTTTTTAATGAGCGCAAAACTAGTTGTATTGAATCATTAGTTTGCAAAAGTGATTATCGATTATTAATTATGAAAATAACATATATGCATTTTGTTTAGGGATCTTCATCTTTAAAGATATTTTTTCATCGAGATATAATCAGTATCTTCGTGCAAAAAAATTGTAGCGAGATGAATTTGGATTCATTCGAAAATTATGATTCTATCGTTTTCCATGAGTACCACATTGTTTATTTCAGATTAGTTCATGAAAATAAAATTACAAAAATGAAATTGTCCAAAGAATCAATTTTTATTAATGAAAATCACTGTATATGTTTAAATTAATTAATTATTATTTTATGTCATATTTTGTCGTATTTTGAGAGAATTGAAATTATACAAATATAATAAATCAACTATTACTGTTGTAATTTTAATAAATTATGAAAATAAAATTGTCAAATTATTATTATATAGATAATTATAATACAACGATAGCATGGAATTTTGTTCAGCAATTTTAAAGTCAATTATATTAGTAAATGTAGGACATAATATAATGATATCGTCAATAAAATGGTTAATCACGATTTGGTGTAACAAATATATTCTAATTTTTTTCTAATTACCGTTAAATATTAACTGATTTTTTTTTTTTAATAAAAGAAGAAAATTACTTGGATATTACATAAAAACATGATGATATGTCTTCAATTCAAATTTTATAATTTGCTATAGGAGAAATTTTTCTGTGTTTAATTTTGGTAGAAAATTCTTTGTCCTTCGTTTCAATCTACTTCGAGTTGGCTTCGTTCATTTCCCGGCCAAATTGGTTGAATCCCGGCCGAACTTTCCGGAAATGTACTTTTTTTTGGACTTTAAGTCACGGCCTAGCCTTATTTCATGCGAAACGGCACCGCATCTCACGAAGTTCGCTAGGGATACTATACCCTTAACACAATCGAGCTTGCCTTGGCAACGTTAAAGGTGAGCGGTGTCTTTAGTAGAATAGCTCACCACCCTTCCTGTGATTATGGCCGGCCTATATAAAAGTTTCGCTGCAAAACTCCGTCTGACGATACATAGGATTCGCTTCTTCTCTTTTCCGTCTACTCTCTTTTCTTTCCCGATATTCTTCCCGCATTTCTCCCCTTCCCTCTGTAATCCTCTACCTTTCATGAGTGTGTTTTCCGACTATGCTCTTCCTTTATTCCCTGGGGTAGTTCCACATTCGCGAAAAAGGTATACTTTCAAGTAGCCAATCCGACAGCTGCGTCAAATCCGCGGCTTCACTGTAACGAGGTCGATGGCGGAGGAGAGAAGGAATGAGCGGTAATGGTAGATCCAAAATAGTGAAGAAAGAAATAGGCTACAGCTAAATGAAAGTTTGACGGCAAACGGTAAAAGGAAGGCCAACGAATTGATACTCGTTCTCTCAGAATCACTTCCACATTTATGAATAAGTTGAATAAATATCCCTTTGGATTTTTCTTTTCGAACATCCTTGCCAGTTCAATTTATTTTTTGAAATTCAGCGATCACTTGCATTACTGATAATAATCTTTTAGATATAATAATTAATAATTTTGAACGAGAGACTCCTCAACTTTCCTTCTCTCTTCCGCGCTCTTTTTATTTTATTTTTTTATCTCTATCTCTCAGATGATTGCGAATAAACAAACAATACGGCAAACATTACAATTTTAAATTACTATCCAAGAGCTTTTAATCACAAAAATGATACTCATTTCATAATCAGTATAATTGGATTATTTAATGAAGAAGTTTAGAAGGAATTTTGATAATGATATAAGCGAGATAAAATTGTTAATATCTGTATGAATTTCATCTCTATAAAGAAGCAACTTCTTATGATCTAATTATTTTTGTGTCCAATCCATGCTATTAGAGAAACACATGTCATATTCTATTAAAAAGTCATATTCGCAAACAATTATCATTATATATTCTAAATTTATTAAGATAAAGTTTTAACTTTTTTAACCTGGGCATCGTGAAATAATTGAAATAGATTCTGAACGGAATTATTTCGTTTTCCCTCGAAAACACAATAGAAATCTAGGGAATTATTGAATAATTCTGATCGGAATCTGTTTCGAATAATTCCATAATACCCGCTTCGTTTTTCCGATGGTTGGCGATTAATTTCGAATAGTTAATTATTGAATAATGCATGTACGGCAATTGTCTATGAAAAATGTCGTGAAATCATGAACATCGAGAGAAGTCGCTTGCAGCCGACTCGCTCGGCTGATGCGAACTGCGCGACGACGTTAACGTAAATCCGCGGACCGTGCGTGCTGTTTCCAGTGCGTTAATTCGTATATCCACCAGCTTTCCGCTTGTGTTTCAGACAATGGACCGCCCCCCGTGGAGCAGAGCGATGACGGATGGTTGAACTTCACAAAAATCACTCGGGCCGAGAGCGGCTGGTACAAGTGTTATACGCGGCATATGCTCGGCATTTTCACCAGCATCGGATATTTTCTCAATGTTCGCTGTGAGTAAATCGTTGTCACGCCACTTTGTCGCTTTCAATAGCGTACGTAGAATTTCCCGCGCATTCGAGCGGAAACGTCAAGTTAATAAATGTAAGAGTGTTCCTTTGAAAAGAATAATTTTTCACAGCTTAACTTGCTAAATTGAAATTTCTACGATACCTTCAATATTAATTTGTATCTTACATTTAAGTAATAGATCTGTAATACAGAACTATCACGGTCGAGAAAACAATATAAACGGTACAAATACTACATAATTTTATATAATTAGAGATATGATTTAATCAGATATTTCATTTATGAATTACTTTTAAATAGATAGAATGTAAAAATACAAAACAACATTTTTTAAATAAAATTTGGATTATCAAGAATATATTTAGATCTTATGGAAATAAATTTGTTTGCTAACTATATTCTCTTTCTCTGCCAAGTTGTATTTCTGTGTAAACTTCTTGTTTTTAAAATTAGTAAATTATCAAAAAAATTAAAATAATATTACGTAATTTTCGAAATATATATAAAGCGTCGGTAGCATCGACGAAAGGTAATTACGTCGCAGTGCATCTTTTGGCTGATGCATTGTCTACTCCTTATGCATTTGATAGTGCTCGAAGAGACATTCTCCCTGATTCGGAATGCGAAGGGGGTCGTCGCTGCAGCCAATAACCGGATACCACAGTCATTTGTCAAGGACGGAAACCACCGAGCCAACCGGAAATTATCCGTGCCCCGTCGTGAAAATTTGCAAATTTCCTACCTAGCCCCATTCCTTCCATCTTGCCATTATAACCAGAGGGCGATGCGCTCCCTGCATCTCAAACCCGCGGCCCTCGTCTCTCTCTCTCTCTCTCTCTCTCTCTTCTCTCTCTCTCTCTCTCTCTCTCTCTCTCTCTCTTTCCCCATCCTCTTGTCTTCTATCTAGTACTCTTCTCTATCGCACCCATCTTCTCTCTCTCTCTCTCTCTCTCTCTCTCGATTTCTCTCTCAATCTCTCGTCTGCTCCTTCGACCGACGATGCTGGATACGGGCTTCCGAGCACCTAATCTCTACGCAATTTAGATGGCTCGAGAGCACCTATAAACCAACCATCCTCCTTCGTGAGAATTATCGATTACACTGCTACTATGTCCTGTTCGAATCTCCTCCTGGATTACTTATCCGCCGGATAACGTCAAGGCGGGTTTAAACCGACGCGCTAATTTCGCCAGCTTGTAGACAGTCTACAGATAGGACGTAGTTTAAAGGGACAGAAGTGATAAAACTAGCGCTATCGACAGGCGAACAGATTTTTCTCGTAACTATTATCAGCATAGATGATACAAACTTACATTATTTTTTATTTATCATGTACATGTTCATATTTAAATATAATTTTTAATTCTTATTAATGATAGAAAAAGACATTATCGCATATTAAATTGTCTCTATTAAAAAAATATTTTGTGATAATATGTGATATTCTATAATTTTCAAATATTCAATTTAACTAAACATCTTGGATGTGCATAATTCAATTAGTAGGAACATGAAAAGCATATCAAAGTAATTAGAGATAACGCGATCACAGACGGACGAGTATATGAGAACCTTAATCACCTTAGTGCACGCGAATCGCATTAAGATTTAGGACGATCACAAGCCGCTGCCGTAGAAGAAGAGACGCAGATCAAATTTGGAGATAACGAAAACTGTCGAAGAGAGGAGTAATGCCGATGAAAAACGTCAAATTATCGGGCCTGATTACCGGGCCCTCTGTTTTCTCCCTTTTCCTTTCCTGTGTTTGTTAAAGCACTAACGGTGGTGTTTGTTATAAAATTCCGAACAAACTACAAGACAAACGAGATATAGTTGAGAGCCGTACGAGCATGAGAGGAAGTGAAAGCCTCCTATCGCATCCGCACCACTTTGATCCCTTTGTTTTGCTATAGGATGAGCTGGAGGATCAGCTTGCTAACTCAAAGGACTGCTACGTCCTCCCATTCCTCTGCCCCCGCTTCTTTCTCTTTCTCAGCCGAATTCCGTTGGAACAGTCCGGCTCTAATTCCCGAACAGAGATACGAGCAGCCTCTGCACACCATCTACTCTCTTGTCTCTCTCTCTCTCTCTCTCTCTCTCTCTCTCTCTCTCTCTCTCTCTCTCTCTCGCGCTCTCTCTCTCTCTCTCTCTCTCTCTCTCTCTCTCTCTCTCTCTCTCTCTGCAATTGTGGACATAGCACTAGCTGGAGAACAAACAATCGTAGCCGTATAATTCCATAGGTGGAATCGGAAAAGGACGGGAGGGATGAGAAAGGGTAGAAGTTGGAATCGACAGTATGTAACGCGGTGGTGGGGAAAAGATTTTGTCGAATCCAGCACGTAAGGGTAGAGAGATACTGCCCCAACTTTATCTCTCGTACGTGCCGCTGATTTCTGATACCACAGTAGTTCTTGGATATCGATGACGATATCGAAACCGGAATTCAAAATAACGGTAAAGGATGAATGTGTTGAAAATTCTTAGAAAATTTTCACATTTACGGTACGTAAAAGCTATTAATTGTGCAACACGTTTTAACATTTTTTTCTAGCGTTCGAAAAAGATTTATATTTATAATTATGGAATCTAACAAAAAAAATATATGTAATGATAAGTACAAAAGCATTTTAAGTTCAAACAAATAAAATTTGAAATTTTATTTGAAAATATTATATTTTTTAAATGAATTATTATATATTTCATTGCGGGTCATATTCAAATATAAAGAATCTAGGAAGGAAGTCTGGGCTTTCCATAATAAGCCATTACCCAAACTTTAAGTTTTAAGCCGTAAAAACTTAATCAATCACAGACGAATGTGAAAAGAATCGACTATGATTAGTCAATTTTTTACGACTTAAGACATAAAGCTTAGATAATAGCTTATTAAAGAAAATTTATTAAAATTCCATTTCGAGTGCGCTATGTCTACATTGTGGATTAATTTTCGTACATTGTTTCATCTTCCTGTGGCCCATACGTTTAAATTCGACTTTTGAGTTTGCTGCTCATTGAGAGATTTAAATCAATGGGATTTAGATGATCCAGATATGGAGACCGAAGCGGAAGCACTGAACGGTGAAGCGACTGATTCTCGACGGATGGAGGTGCAAATCGGCGGTGCTGTGACCCTCGAATGCGACGGCGGTTGTTGGGGCCACGGACCTGGAATGGATCCAGTAGGTGGACCCGGACCTCTCGCTTTGAGCCGAGTAGTATACCAAGAAGCTGGGGAGTATCGATGCGTCGCGCCGGATCGGAAAATGCAGGACACGTGGCGAGCTCAGTTACCCTATCACATCAAAGTTACCGGTGAGTTACCGATAAAATTTCTACCAGAATAGACTACTAGATTCTCAATGCTTCCACTGTACGGTTTTTCCTTTTCGTACCTTCATTCGCGTATATCAGCGGTGCGCGCGCGTGCATCTGTGGACTCTGAGAAATTTTTTTCTGTCTGCGAGCACGCAAGCCAAATGCGATAGAGATTATCTGAAAACCGATTAGACGTTCACAGTGCGCGTCCGCAAGTTACAAATTGAATTGCGATTCACATGACGTTGATAATGCGCGAGATGCATTGTTGCCGCGATTGGTATCTGACGAACATAACATTGTGCGGCGTGTCGCATTGTACCCGGTTGCATTGTAGGTTGCGGCTAACTACCTTGCCCGCTATCTGGTTCTAAATTTAATTATAACAGTCGACATTGAATTAACCGTGTTACGGTATAACCGTGTTAACGGTGGTAACACATTAATTATCAGCTTAAACTTTTGACGACCTGCTGAGGAGTATGGCAGAACGTTTCTCTTTCTCTCGTGCGGAGTTAATGCATTCCTTTAATCCGTTTAATGTAGTTACGTTTTAGCAAAACAAATAAACTAGAGCTACACTCAAATGGTATAATTTGTGCATTTACATTGTTACGGTCCGTACGCGGTGCAGCGGGTCAAATAAGATACCCCATTATGAAATGCACGAATCGCGTGAAGAATTATAAAGGATATATATTTGACAGAATATCTAAAATTCTCAGTTAATTATATATATCATAATTACATTATATCGAAGATAAATAATTTAAGTACTTAAATATTTGTAATTTAAGCATGTGGAAATATAAAGTTTTCACAATCAAAGTACAACAAAATCAAATATATACAAATGTCCTTATTGAAATTGCACGCACACACAATTTATGTTCACTTAAATTTAACTTTAATTAAGAAAGTTTTATTAATAGTATTTCGTCATGATTAACTTTTAAAACGCAGAAATATTTTCGTAATAAATTTCAAACTTTAAGAATCGCATTAAGAATAGCCTATATAGAGTATTTCATTTTTATTTTACTGATATTTTTACATTTATAAAAATTTATATTGTCCTAAATAAATATTTTAAAAAATAATGCTAATTAATGCGCGAGGCAACACTACAAATATATCTTCGTTTCGAATCGTAAAAAAAAAATACGCCACGTTTTTAATGACAAAAATTCTATAAAATGTAAAAGTGGGAGACAGAAATTTTTGGTTCGTTATATTAATTTGTTCTTTCAGATAAAAGCCGTTGCGGCTAGTATTACATCGTAATTATGATAATATTTTTTAATGGATATGGCCGAATAATAACCATCATAATGTTTTAATGTTACCACGTGAAGCCATACAGCTAACGATTGCATAAAACTTACACACCATGTGTAGAGTAATTAAATACTTTTTCACCGTCACATTACGGCTGGAAGGAATTAATTAAACGATGAGAATGTGAAACATTTTCATTCGTTATTAAAGCTTTCGTAATAGCTTTCAGTATCATTTGCTGTACATCGGACGACGTTATAAAGCTATAAAAATATACATATATTATTATTTTCACATATTCTTCGCGAATTTGATCTCTAATAAGTATTATTTTGATATATTGTGACTGAAATGTTATGTCATATGAATATTATGCAATAGAAATATAGTACAAGCCCAGAGAAATTATTATTTGTTACTATATTTGCATATATACCTATATATATTAACTATTATTTTTATGTAATAATATATTATCAAGATTTTATTAATCACATGTAATATTGAATATATAATTTATTAAATGCTTAATACTTTTAACCGAAATATTCTTTTTCAATAATTATGTACTTTGCTTCAGTAAATAAACTCACATACTAATCGTACGAGAGAAGATTCACTTTTTATTTACTAAGAATACGTGAGACTTAGTTTTTATCCGAATTGAAGTTAAAATCCGAATGCAATTTTGAATCTACATGTTTTTACTTGGCGAGAATCTCGAGAGGTTAAATGGAAGCGCGAATGCTGATAAAAGTTGAGTACTCAGTGCAACACAAGATACTGGTCTAGATGCGCACGTAGCATACTCTTCGGGGATAGTGGTCAACGGAACGTGACGTCGTATAAGGCGAGCAGAATATCAGCTGCGGTTGAGCTAGACTAAGTTGAACGTCTTGAAACACTGCGCTGAATGTTTGAATAATAATAGTATAAACATTTTGCCTACGTGACATTAATCGGTATTATTAAAACGTGACAGTTTTATCCAAAGTCTTATAAAGTATGGAACAAGTATTTGGAAAAAAATTTGAAATATACGCGTAAGCTTCGCATACACTGAAAAAAATACTAAATTTTAATAAATATTTGTTTGAATAGTTCCAAGTAGATTTACTAAAGGTAAATATATATTTATTTGATACAAAAACCAGTACTTTTACTATTATTTTTTCATTGAGTAAATATTTATTTTATTGTAAATAAATATATTGACTTATAGTATTGTTCAAAGAAATATGTGTCAAGAGTTAATATTTTTTTTTTGGGTTGTTAAAATATTGAGGCTGTAAGTAAGAGCTGATTTGTATAACTCCCTACAATTTGTGCTTTTCAGTAATAAAGTTTAACTTTTATAATTTAGCATAGATATTATCTGTTTAAAATACATTTAAACATTCTAGACAATCGACAGAATACGTAAACTTAATAATGACTACTACTTCTGAGCCGCGTTATAGTCGCTACTTTGAAACTCGCGTTTGCAACGCTATGAAAGAAAACAACTTTATGGCGTGAAATGGGAATTGTTGTGTCGTAAAGCAGTCTCGTGACTCGGCATACTCTACCGAGGTGATTCCTGCTCCTTTCTTCAACAAGAGGCCGATGTAGTATCGAACCAAGACTCACAAAACGAGCTGTGTATTGGAAATCACGAAACACAGTCGTCCCGCGGTTTTACCGCTGTGAAATCTCTCCTGTTTGTCTTCGATTTCCTCGACTGGCAACAGTAAAGGGGCACCCTACCCAAAACTGTCATTGTCACAGCTTTGGAGCGTCAAGAACGGAACAGTCATTTGGCGAGAAGCGCGGATGAAAACGACGCGAAGGATCACGAGCGAGGGAAACGGAGAAGGAGGCAAAAGGGGACACGGGAAGAAACTTTGCCAACGTTTAACTTTTCCATTTCTCCTCTGGGGTCTTGTCCTCGTAAAATGGTTCTCGGACATCCTCACCGACACGTCCGCCCGTTCCTGTTCGCCCAGGCTTACGAGGGCGCGCGTTGATCTGTCTGAAGGGTGTGCGAGGCACGTAGCAGCACGCCGCGATATCTCGTTTCGTTTAGCTCTTAACGAGTTTGCGTGGCTCCGGAATGGCTCATAATTTTCATCCTGATTTTGGTCCTGAAAATTTGAATCATGAGTGAAAATTAGTCTCATGTTAATTTCTTACAATTGAAAATTGGGACTAAATACATGGTTAATATCAATATTCGAATTATCCGGATTTTAAGCCTAATTACACATAGTATTATGTTCTATATGAGTAGAGATAACAAAATTATGTTAAATATGAATATTTGGAATTAAGAAAAATATAAAAATTAAAAGGTGTCTAAAGATTCATCAATTTTATATGAATTAATCCTTAAACAGAATATAGTATATAAAAAAATATGTTATATAAAATATAATATAACCAGTTCTACGATAGAAAATGAAATCAGTAATACTATCGGAATGTTGGAACAAATTTTCACAGAAAATCTTTCTCTATTTTAGTGAATTCACCAATAATTTCTTTCAAATTCCACCACTGTTGAAATTATTCTCGCACGAGATTTCGGTCGTATTTTGCGGACGTATCATTCACCCGATAAAGAATCACGGGTGCTCCGATGAATCCATAGACGATAAAAAGACACTCGTCCATTGAAATACGACGACGTTATACGTTCGCGATTGCGAGAGACGTTGGACAGTTTCGTCTCTCCCTTTCAGCCTCGGATACGACTGTGGAAATATCGTGTATACCCGGTTATTTTTCCTTGCCCTATTTACGCGACGATGATAGATGCAGAACGTTTTCTTTCTCTTTTACCTCCGCGCGTATATCCCTCATGACCGCCGCGCGTTCTCTATCCGCTTCCTTCCTTCTACTACCATTCAGCCCGAAGCAATCGCTGGAGCAATCCCGACTTCTTATTGATTGCGGCTCGGGGAACTCGTGCGTGTAAGGCGCTCAGCCGTCGGTCGAACGTTCGCTATCCCGGCGAATGCTTCCTACGTCGTTTCCATGGAAATGAAAAGACACAGAAGGCACATCGAAATTATTTCGCCGTCGTCGATCGTCATCCCGCGCGCCCGCAATAATTTTTCCACCTCACTTTATCATTCGGCGAGTAACACCTCCCTCGGGAGTTGTCCAACGCGCGAAATATAAGTTCCTGCTCATCCGATATCAAAATATTTCTACTGCGATCCTAATATGTATTTCTCTAGGTTGTCGAGCCTCTTTTCGCATTTCCTCAATTTCTCCATAATTCATTCGATCTCGTTTGTTATATTTATGAAAAATGCTCCCAAATTTTTCGACGTCTCCTATGCGGAATGAAAGATCAAAAGTTATTGGAAACATACAGGAAGTACAATTCGCCAATTATGATAACGCGATTTGCTGATTTGACTGAAAAATTTTCGAGTATTGTCGATATTGTTGCGTTGATAGAAAAGTTAATAACTTTTCAGTAAAAAAACATTTTTTTAATTCTGAATTGGAGGACGTATTAATGGGGACAATAAATGTGTAATTTCTCTCTATAACTTCACTTTCTATCTATATTATATTTTCAATTATAATGTATTCTTTAAAACTATATCATGAATTTTTAAAACTTGAACATTGTAACTCTAATATAATATAAATTCGATCGCTTATCATTTTTCCATATAAATGAGTTACAAATGTGCCATTTTTCCATAAATATTAATCCTTCTATC